GAACTCTCCCAAAACACAATAAAAAATGTAATGGATTTCAGGGTTATAATGGGAATTGTATTGGTTTTAATGTAAACTATAATGGTGTCTACTAGTATTTGATGGATTCTATTGGTGGGATGTAATCTGGCAGATGGCAACCAATAGAACAACAGTAATTCCTATTGGAATAATGCCCAAAACAAAAAGGAATTTTGTAATGGTTTAATGGAAACTAAGAATTTCTGTGATGGTTTCTATTGTTTTTTTTCAGCAGGGTAATGATACTCATACTGTGCTGCACATTATTGACAATATTGAGCTGAAGCTTGACTTTGCAAATTTAAAATCGCAAATCAAATCGCAATCGCAATATCTGTCAAAAAAAAAAAAAAAATCGCAATTTGATATTTTCCCCCAAATCGCACAGCCCTAATATATATATATTATAATAATATATATAAATAGTATAATTTCACAATTTTTTAAAATTTTTTATTATATCCTCATTGAGGGCTGAGCCCCCCTAAAATGAAAATCCTAGAATCGCCCCTAAGTATGCATAAATTAATGACAGTTTTGACTGTCCTGGTGTGTGCATAAACAAGTGTGAAATACCTAATTACGTTGCTTTTTCCGATCATTTATATTGGGCACTTTTTTGCATTTAAATTCTGTCTGTTGACATTGAAAATGATGCATTTGTTTTTTCGAGGGTATCGGTTAATTTCTTGATTGTCGGTTTGACAGTGTCTGCTTTCATATTTGGTAATTCTCTTTAATGTATTTGCCCCAATTTGATCCATAAGAAAGAAATTTATCTAACGTTATAGTTACATTATTTTGCCGTCATTATATTCTATCACATTATTTTGACAGTTAAAGTTTTGGGCGGTTTTTTGTTGGTGTGGGCGGGTTTTTGTCAGCTTTTGGGCTGGAAATTGCCCATCTAATCTAGCAACACTGGATCCTGCCAAAGAGTATAGAAGACCAAGAGGCGAAACTCAGTAGAACTTTCCATTGCAACAGCGGCGCCCAGCAACAGCCCTGCGCTTCCGCCATTTTGGGGTGAAAGCGACTCGGCAGTCCACTAGCTTCTAGCTGCCGCTATGGCAAATATCAACTGCTTTGTTTAAAAAAAAACGCACATTAATTTATTATTTTATTTTAAAGTCTTCCCTTTTTTTCACAAAACCTTTTGCTCTCTAGAAACCATGTCAGTTTCAGTTGAAAATATTTTAAGTTCAAGTGTTAGCATTATTAACACTGAATTAATACCAACATATGAAATTAAATTAATGACAGAAAAATTAGGAATGTTGGACAATAAATATATAATAGGAATATAACAGCTTGACAGTACACTGTTTTTGCAGTGTTTTATATTAATGTCTGTTAAAGGAAGACTGTAAACAAAAAAACACACACACACGCGTACAGCCACTTTCTCCAAAATTGTTTAATTATTTAATTATGACAGAGACACAGCAACGCATCATGTTCTAATCTAGATCATCCATCGCCACCTAGTGGCTGCAGTAACATGTTACCCAAAATGTCGCCTCTTGGTCTTCTATACTCTTTGATCCTGCTCTGCTTTTGCGCGCGGCTAGCGGATGCACCGGGTAGCGCCGCTTCACACTTTTGGAGTATTTGCTTTTTGCAGTTTCGCGTGGGCAGTAATTTAAAAACAGTGCCTAACATGAGGTCTCCCTCGCTTTGGCGATCGGCCCACCGGGAATGTCCCGGTGCTCCCCAATGGCCTGCACATATGTTCAAGTAAGCTAGATTTGCGCAGCCGCAGATGCTGCGCAATTAGCCTGTATTTCATATATCATGATGAGTCACGAGTTCAGTACCCTATTTGCGCTAAATGCAGATTTGTCTTACATGAACTTCCCCAAGAGATTAATTAATGAACATAATTTACGAAAAATAACCCGGCAAATTCAATAACAATTGGCTAGTGATTTGGCAGCGTTACCCACCACAGCTGATTTTTAGGGGGCGTTCATTTCAAACCCCGCTTGGCGTCATTTGAAGACGGTATGGATTCATTGCTAAAAGACTTTTGGGTCGGGATATCCAATATATAATTTTTAAAGACTAATTGATGTTAGTTTCAATATTTTCAAATTCAACGCTAGTTTCAAACGCGCCGATTTTATGTTCTTACGCCGTAAACGTAACATTGTGAAAATACAAATGTATTTTTATTTTATTTTTTTACCTTGTCTTTAGACATCACGGTGCTGAGGTAAATTAAACCGTGTGGACTCTTTCCGAGGCAGAAGTTGTCATACTTTGGTAAACTTCTCTAGTGGTGTAGCCAACGTTCCATTTGCTCAGCAGCGAGGTAACGAACTCTCCACCTTTTTTCCCGGCGCCATGATGGATTCCAGCTTCCGTTTGGGTGCTCTCGTGTTCCGGTGTTGAGTTTCTTCTTCTTCTTCTTTTGGTTTTATGGCGGGTTGCGAACCAACTTCATAGGTGCATACCGCCACCTACTGTGATGGAGTGTGAAGAGAATGTACTCACCTAAATCTTAAATTCTGTTCATTATTCCACAATTCTTAAGAAATCTCATGACTGCACTTATTTGTTTTCCTGCATTTGGACCATCATTCAGGATACTACTTAATGAAAATTCTTTAACTCCTAAGGATTGTAATTCATCTTTTCCCAATCATCTTCTTTAACATACCCCAAACCTCACCCACTTCAGTGGGGTGGGGGGGTAAATAAAGGCCTCTGAAGTGGCGCGATGCGTTTGTGTAAGAAAAATATCCATATTTACAACTTTATAAGATTAGAGATTTGTAATCTCTAACTTCCGCTAACTGTCGTACGCACGTTCACGAGAGAGTGGTGTCCAGCGGATGACGTAGCATGTAGGCGTAGCGTAAACTCCAGTGACAATATGCTAGTCTCACAAGAAAAAAAAAAAAAAGAAAAAAAAGGTTTGTTTACAGCAAAGGAAAACCAGTGTCCTCTTGGCTTATATCGAAATCCTCCGACATTTTTCTTTACAAATCCTCATTTTGTACTACTAATTCGTGACCGGTGTTTTGCTTTGCTCTCTCCTCTGCGCTTCCACGTTCATCACTTCCGCGTTCGTCACTTTATTTTTCATTTTCTGTATGCTTTTATTTTTGGACTAATAATAAAGTCAGTCAACTCATTGTATGTGAGAGAGTCAGTGGTAATATCAATGCGTTCCTATAGGGTATATGTCGAACATCACCTGACCAAACCCTGAAAACAGGTCTCATCGCTTCCGCTTGTCGGAGAACGTGTTAACAGCCGTATTAAATAATAGCGATATCTATGGACTTTTAAGATAATCAGTTAAACTAGCTAGCTGTTTTTATTGTTAACGTTTTATAAAATTGTTATATCTAAATGTGAAAAGAATAAAAATAAAAAAACTTTTAGATATCAGTCCGCATATGTGATGGACATTGGTTATGATCATCATTTGTATCTACTTTGAAGGCATCTTGAGTAAAACTGCTTCATATTTAACGAAGCATATGCAAAACGCTTGAACCGGAAGCGACGAGACCCGGTTAACAGAATACGGAAGTCTGTTGCGCATAACCCCTATTGGTCAGTGTTAGAGGAGCTCAGCTTAGCCTGACAATTAGCCTGCTCCGAACCAGGGGCCTGTTTCATAAAACAAGTCTACCAAATAAGCCAGACTTATTTCAGTTAGTCTGACTTATTGTCACTTGATTTGGTTTCTGAAAGCAAAATTACCGTAGCTCAAGCTAAACTAATTTTTGCCACTTTATGCCTTACATGTATGTTTTCACTAATTGAATTTATCTGCATGATTTATATCTCTATTATTAAAGGGTCTTTGAATGACAGACATATTGCTAATGGGAGCAAACTGTATGCCATATTTACACCAAGTTAAAATTTAACAGAGTTACCACCGACACAAAGGCAGGCTGACATCAGAAATGAAGGACCGAGTGTCATCCGCTGTCACATAATGTTACAGGTACTACTAATGTTTGTTTTTAATGTTTGCCTAATAGTTTTTGTGCATTTTTTCATATAAATAAATGAAAAGTGTCTTCTTTAAAAAAAAAAAAAAGACCAAACTTAATTCTGTGCTCCAAAGCATTCAAGATTTATGCCAGATAAAGCTGGAAATTTTAATTTCAGGTCTATGCTCAAAAATTGGTTAACAGTTAATAAATTGATCATAACTATTCCATAAATACAGTTCCCTCCAATAATATTGGCACCCTTGGTAAATATGAGCAAAGGCAGCTGTGAAAATAAATCTGCACTGTTTATCCTTTTGATCTTTAATTTAAAAAAATGTACAAAATTCTAACTTATCATTGAAGTAAAACAATTGAAATGGGGGTAAATCTCATTGTGAAATAAATGCTTTCTCTAGTTCATGTTGGCCACAATTATTGGCACCCAATTATTGCAACGTCCTTTTCTCAAGATAACAGCTCTGAGTTTTCAACTATTATGCCTGAAGAGTTTGGAGAACACCTGATAAGAGATCCAGAGACCATTCCTTCCTCCAGAATCTCTCCAGATCCTTCAGATTCACAGCTCCATGTTGGTGCTTCTTCTCTTCAGTTCACCACACTCATTTTCTATAGTGTTTAGGTCAGAGGACTGGGACAGCCATGGTAGAAGGGTTGTTTTGTGCTCAGTGACCCATTTTTGTGTTGATTTTGATGTTTGTTTTGGATTATTGTCCTGATGGAAGATCCAACCACTGCCCATTATAAGATTTCTAACAGAGTCAAGTTTAGATTTTTTATCTGTTGGTATTTGATAAGAATCCATGATGCCATGCATCTGAACAATAGGTCCAGGACCCCTGGCAGAAAAACAGGCCCACAACATTAAAGATCCAGCAGTATATTTAACCGTGTACTTTTGTGGGTACTTTTTATCCGTTTGTACTAAACCCATCTGGTGGGCTTGCTGCTAAAAAGCTCTTTTTTTTTTAGTTTCATCTGACCATAGAAGCCAGTGCCATTTTAAGTTCCAGTCGTGTCTGACAACTGAATTTGCTGGAGTTTGTTTTTGGATGAACAAGGAGAATTTTTCTTGAAACCCTCCCGAACAACGTGGTAATGTAGGGGCTATTTGATATATTTTTTTAGGCTTTCTGACCCCAAGACTCAACTAATCTCTACAATTCTCCAGCTGTGATCCTTGGAGAGTCTTTGGCCACTCAAACTCTCCTCCTCCTCACCGTGCATTAGGACGATATAGACACACGTCCTCTTCTAGGCAGATTTGTAACATCTTTAGTTGATTGGAACTTCTTAATTATTGCCCTGATGGTGGAAATGGGGATTTTTAATGCTTTAGCTCTTTTCTTAAGGGGGTCTGAATACTTTCCGTACCCACTGTATATATATGTTTGTGTGTGTGTCATTGGTTTTGTTTCACATCCTCTCTGAAAAGTTTAGCATTGTATTCACACAATAAATTTTTGTTGATATTGACAGCTGTTTTATATTATGGCACCAAATTCTCTTTTTTTTACTTTACTATAGGCAACTGAAAGGCTTAAGAGGTAGCCTAATGTCTACCTGTCTCTTTTTATTTTATTACTTTTTTTTTCTGAAATCCACCCTTCTGCTGGGTTTCAGTATAATCCTGATTATTTTGGATCAAAGGTATCACAATCTTACTTAAAAGTTTTGAACAACGCATTTTCAAGATTTGAAATGACCAATCTGATGGAAGTGTGGACATTCGACTGAATGTACTTTGTGCCAAGGCGGAGTCTAAAATACAAGTACTTGCACTTCTGTTTCTGATGACAGTGACTGCTCGTTACAACAATGACCATAACACCCCACCTCCCTGTAAACTGCTGCCACTGTGTCATTCTCAGAAAATATAGTGACATTTCGCTCTATTGTGAGAGAAACAGAGTTATAAAGAGTGCTGTTATCTGTCCCTCTGTGGCAGTGGAGGGGGCCTAAAAAAGTTACAGAAAACAAAGAAGATAAAAAGAAAACATTGCTTGACGTTTAGTGAGCAAACCAAAGGCAACAGTGGCAAAGGGAAAACTTTCCTAGGATGTTTAAGAAGATGAGAGAAAAACCTAGGGAAGTACCAAGACAAAGCTAAGGAAACCCTGCAAGACCTCATACAAGAAGAAGTGAAATTTTAAAACATTGACAGATAATTCAATAGTCATTCATACAGTAAATATGGGCAAAAATAAAATCAATTAATAGTAACATCTAATTTGTGTCCCTGCTTTAGAAAAAAAAAGCCTTAGTAAAGGGTGCTAAAAGAGATGAGTTTTAAAGTGCTGCCATGAAAACAGTCTATAGGAGAGAGATATGTACATAACTATCAAAGTTTATTAGTCTGAGTCTAAATGATTTAGTATTGTTAAATTAAATAAATGAATTCAGTGTAGAAAGATGAATGACACAATAAATATATGAAGAGACATTGGTTATAAGAAGCATTGACCTGATCTACTGTAGGTAAATCTGTATGTGAAGACACTGTACTACATTTAAATGAAATGATAATAATAATAATAATGATAATAACATAAAATATAGAAATAAATAATGAAGATTACAGTATAATCATGAAAAGGCTCACTTACATTTAAAGTCTGTTTATATACTACAGAGAATCAGGTCTTTGTATTTCAGAATATTGTACATTGGACTTCAATAAAAATATCTGACAGCCACTTCTAAGGCAGGGTTTGGCTAACAGGAGTTTGTGAGGGAACTGCAGGGGGTTCACAAGTTAATGGAAACCTAATAATTGACGAAATCATAAGAATGTAAACTTAAAATAAGTAAATAATTTAAAAATAAAATCAATAAAAAAAAACTACTTAATAAAAAAATTGTATTAATTTACCTGCATGTCATGTGATAATTAACCCACATCAGAGAACTATGGACAATAACCACAAATGTGTTATTAAATTATTCACATATTATCTTGAAATCTTAGGGTGTACAACAAGTAAACATTTTAGGTTTTGGTTGACCAAACAATTTTGGCAACCCTCATTCTGTATAATTTTATTATACACTGTATAATTTTAGTCCCATTTTCAGATGTTTTCAGTGTGTTACAAGTTGTAGAGAAAAAAAACAAAACATACTTTTTGAAGCAACTGGTCGAATTGAACAATTTGGTTACACTTTATTTTAAGATGTCCTTGTTAAAGTGTAGTTATACATTTAAGTACAGAGTAATATTAATTAACTACATGTACTTACTATATGGTTAGGGTTAGGATTATGGTTTGGCTTAGGGTTACTTGCATGTAATTAATTAATTGTTATTATAATAGATTTATTATAATAAGTATATGTAACATGTGTAACAAGGACACCTTAAAATAAAGTTACCAACAATTGTTACAGGAAGCCTAATTTTGTCAGAACTGTGTCCTAATAGTTACTGCACGTGCTCCAGAACTGTTGATTTGAGACCATGCTTTAAACCAGCAGTATATTAATATATTTAATCATTAATTTTTTGGAAAGAAACTAAAATGCCTTTATTGTCATTCTCAAACTCTATAGCTCCATTTCAATGTAAACAGTGAGAGAACTATGCTGTGTCTGAATTTTCCTGTGATGCCTCCATAGTTTGCCTAAGGTAGGCCCGGCTTTGAATCCGCAGCACCATGCGCCGAGCATAGAAATCCTGATAATCAGGTGGCAGTTCTTCCAAGATGCCTAAAGTCCTCTCTAGTGACTGCAGGACTCGAGAGGCTGCTACTGGGTCTTTGTTTCCATATGGATCTTTCTTATCATAACTCTCAGGTGGCAGATGTCTCCAGAACACGTTGACACCAACTCCAAACTGGAGAGCCAGGGTATTGTGAAACCAAAGTGCTGAGGAAATACAAACAAAAGTAGTATTTTTCTGAATGCAATTCAGCACTACTTTAGGATAAGAGCACACTTAGATGTATGTGAGGTTCACAATGTTAAAAGTATAGAATTTTATAATGGTGCTGTGATTATGTATAACTAGTTGGTCTGGTTTAAGAATAGAATACCTGGAATGAAGAGCAGGTCTCCTGGTTCCAGAATACACTCGTAGCGACTTGCTTTCACAAACTCAGGATAAAGCTGCAGATCAGTTGTGTCAATGTCCAAAACTTCAGACTTGTCCCCTAAAAAATAATGTCACAATTAAAGTTACAGTGAATTAGCAAAATAACATTCAGATGAAACTTTACACAGTTTGTTTGTTATGCTATTATACTATTATGTATGTGCTATGTATATAATGCATATATTGACAGTCATTTTGTTAAGTACTACCTGTGAGGTAGAGATAAAGGGCATCTTTGGGGCTGTACAGAACAACACGCTTTCTTCCTGTAACTTGAGCCAGAAGGTTGTCCATTACCTGATGGTAAACAATAAAATAACAAGAATGGTTAAAACAAGAATGGTTATTCATTCAAGATGTTAATAGAAGTATTATGCTAATTGTGGTATGGGTAAATTGAGCAATAATGAGAGTTAGTGTAAATAAAAAACACTGTTAACAAGTTTGGATATGTATACATAGTGTGAAGAGATATTGCATAAACAAAGACATTCAAGTGAGCTTTTCATTAGCTTGTCTGCAAAAAAAAAAAAAAATTTGACCAGTGCCACCTTTAGACATCGAGAACTCACATCGTAGTGTGTCCACAGCTGCAGACCAGGGGAACTGATGCGAAAGACACTGGAGAAAAACTGCTCTGGCTCAAAGAACTGGGGTATATGGAAATCCTCTGCTAGCTCAGGGAACTGCTTCCTTAAATCAGCTGGTTCCTGAAAGGGGAAGGAATCAATATTAATATATTAAAAAATATATATTACAGGCATTTTACAGTGAATATGCTGCCACATTGAAGCCTATATTCAAATTAAACTCTACAGTCCAAAACAGGCACGATATTCATTACTAAGAGTAATTTAAGCTACCTTACGAACATCTTCTCCAAGTGAGCGCAAGTAGTAGCTTTCATCCTGTTGGGAACATGAAGACCTATTTCAGCAGTTTTCAACCTGTGGGCCGCGACGGTCATAGTAGGAGGGCCATTAATTATTATTAATAAAAAATATATATTTTGTTAAAATAGGTAGGTTATGCAAAAATATAGTCCAGTGGTTCCCAACCTTTTCCAACTCGTGGCCCACACAACCAAACACATATGTTTTCTGCTGCCCACTAATGTGCAGCTAAACTTATGCGTACTAATTTAGCATAAATGGCACAAACTATTTGTCAAATAGAATGTTATAATCAAAAGAATAAAAGAATGAAGTTCAAATGTACTTTTTAAGGTAACTAACCTCACTAATGAAGAAATCTGAGTGCTTTGCCTCTGCAGCTCTCTGAATGAACTTGTCAAATGGCAGAGTCCTGAAATACAGAATTATGTTATGCTTCCACAGTTTTGTGTTGGGCTCAAGTATAAAGGATTCGTGTTAAATCGCACACACCTGTACACAAAGTTCTTGTGCAGAAAGTCCATCCTGGGCTCTGGGGACACATGCACTTTGACCTCGCGGTCTCCCCCCTTCTGCGCGAGATAACTCACCGTCCACGAGCGCACACAGGGCCCCAGGGGCACACGCTTCAGAACCGCCGGTCTACGCTAAACAAGACACGTGTGATTCATGTACCACAACACGGCAATAAATGGCTGTTTAATATATAATACACGAGTTACCAGCGGATATATATCCCTCAAGAAAGTCTCTCTGTCCACATCGGTGTACACGGGCACCTCCAGCTTTTCTTGACAATCCATTTCTGACAGTTTGAAGTTTACTGTCCATTCGCTGCCATCTGCTCCATTCCGCCTTCCTTAGAATATACAGTATGGTGATAGGAAGTCCGACTCGTTTTTGCGAGTCGACTCTTTTAAAGTTTGTTTCAAAGAACCGAATTTAAAGCCGAGTCTCTATGCTCTGAACTAAATCATCCAAATAACCCCACGTAGACATGTATTGTTATTTATTACCTTTTAAGACGTGTGTTTTAATCATGGATTAAATGAGTAGGTGAGATGTTGACCCGAGAACTCCTCAGACCAATTCAGTCAATTGATTAATTTAAGTGAACCGACTCATTCGTGAACAAATTAGACGTAGCTACTAAAAGCACGTCTTTGACGTATTCTTTTCACAAACAACACAAACAGTATACATTTAATGACGAATTTAAATAAAGAGTGAGTCTGCTTTGTCTGAAAATACTGATATACTGTTGAAATCTGTTATATATCTATCTATAAATGTGGAACTGTTGTGTCTTTAGGATGTTGTCAGTCGGATTTCCATAACAGATGGGCCGCTGAGGATGACGGTAGAAAGATGGCGCTGCCCTTGCTGAGGTGCTGCAGCTGTAACAGGCCCGTTTCGATTCTGATCCGGTACTTTACATCGAAGTCATTTTCAGCGAATCGGTCCAGACGACTCGCCCCCGTGGCGTCTGTAGTGTGTGATGCTCGCCAGTACAGCTCTGAGCGGGGGAGACACAAACAGAACCAGAAGGTTGTGGTTATTGGGGTCCCGAACCCCTTCATCTGGTTCCGAACCCGCATCTACCTCTTCCTCATCCGAGCTTACTTCGACAAAGAGTTCGGCATTGAGGAGTTCACGGAAGGAGCCAAACAGGTGAATGCCAACACCTGACAAAGCGTTATGTGATAGAAAATAGGCTACATAATGTCAGTTATGACAGTGCCTGTGCTATAATAATTATGGACAAATTTTAATGCCTTATTTTTATAATGGTAATTTTTCTGTCTTTTAGGCATTTTAAATATGGCTGAATGTTAATGAACATTAAAATTTGAGTTTTGTTGTATTTATTTATTGTAAGGAATAAGGATATGGGAAAATGATACAATTTTAGTCTTTTATAAACTTTTTTTATTTCTTTATTTATTATTTATTGGCTGATTGGACATTTTAATATGCGTGCTTCTGGTTGTAGCCTACACTACTAGTCAAGAGTTTTTGAACAGTAAGATTTTTAATGTTTTATAAAGAAGTCTCTTCTGCTCAACAAACCTGCATTTGTTTGATCCAAAATACAGCAAAAGCAGTAATATTGTGAAATACTTTTACTATTTAAAATAACTGCTCCCTATTTGAATATATTTTAAAATGTAATTAATTCCTGTGATCAAAGCTACATTTTCAGCATAATTTCTCCAGTCTTCAGTGTCACATGATCCTTCAGAAATCATTCTAATATGCTGATTTGCTGTTCAAGAAACATTTTATTATTATTATTATTATCAATATTTAAAAGTACATATTTCATGATTCTTTGATGAATAGAAAGATCTGAAGATCAGCATTTATCTGAAATAAAAACATTAATTTTATAACATTATACACAAAAGTTAAAGTTTTTTGGGGGGAGGGGGATAAATTAACACTTATTTAGCAAGGATGCTTTAAATTGATCAAAAGTGATGATAAAGACATTTATAATGTTACAAAAGATTTCTATTTCAGAAAAAATGCTGTTCTTTTGAACGTTCTACTCCTCAAAGAAACCTGAAAAAATGATACTAGCTGTTTTCAACATAATAATAATAATAATAATAATAATAATAAATATTTTTGAGCAGCAAATCAGCATATTAGAATGATTTCTGAAGGATCATGTGACACTGAAGACTGGAGTAATGATGCTAAAATTCAGCTTTGAAATCACAGGAATACATATAAAACAGTTATTTTAAATAGTAAAAATATTTAAAAATTATACTGCTTTTGATGTACGTTGGATCAAATAAATGCAGGCTTGGTGAGCAGAAGAGACTTCTTTAAAAAAAAAAAAAACATTAAAAAAATCTTACTGTTCAAAAACTTTTGACTGGTATGTAAACTGTGTACAATAGAGTTTAGGATTTAAAAAATGTTTTAGTGTGTATGTTTAGCAAGTGAAGAGAGACAGATAAACTTTGTTAAACGGGAAAACTTAACCAATGTAGTTTTGAGTTACATGATCACGGAGAGAATAAGCAGAGTGCTTAAACTTCTCCTTTTACTCTCAGGCTTTCTCACACGTATCAAGATTGCTGTCTCAGTGCAAGTTCGAGGCTCTTGAGGGATTAGTAGCTAAAGATGTAAGTACATGAAGATACCAATCACTTATATTATATTATTAATATTATTTACCTGTATAAGATTATCGATTTCATTTAGAGTAATTAATCTAATATACCCTCCCATAGCTAATAGGGAAACTTGAGGAAAAATGCGCTCAATTGCCTTTGAGCCACCAGAGGGCGCTGTCTGCTGAGTCCGATGCGATCATGTACACAACAACAGGAGATGTGGGCATTTACTATGATGATAGCGGTGAGACCCTATAAGCTTCATACCACGCAATATTCGCCCAGGTAATATGTTTAATTATTGTTTGTGGGCGTGTAATTTAGGAAATATAAGCTTTGAAATCAGCATATTTATCCTTTTTATCAGACTGTTTCTTATGCCAGCCACATTTAATGCGTTCAGTAAGTTACTATTTTAAAAAAAGAATTTTGTATAACGTAGACCACAAATAAATATGTATGCAAAAAATAATTGTTTTCCCATTGCTTTCAGGGAGGAAATATGTAAGTATTTTGATGCGTTTTTGGTACTTGAGTGCCAGACTTCCTGATGAGAGTATGGAGGGAGCAAAAATATTCCAGGTTGACATTGGTGGAGAGGGAGAGAGACCAGAGACCAAGAGATTGCTGACAGCCAATTATGAGTGAGTATTGTGATGATTCTTTCCATTGGCTTACACACACACACACACACACACATATATATATATATATATATATATATATATATATATACAGTCAAACCTAAGTTTATTCAGACACCTTCAACATTTCTCACGCTATCACAGCTTATTCGCTATAGTTTAGAAAATGGTAATAAAACATGACATGAACTCAGAGTTAAACTGTCAGAACAAATTCATCTTGAAAACGTCAGATGACTTTGATAGAAAGGTATGTAATGAATTAGGCTGAATAGCTGTCAGCTGTTAAATTTAAGTACACAATTAGATAATACCAATTTAGGTCAACCAATTACCAAGCAATGCTTAATTTTGTTCAGTCTGTGGTGTAAAAAGGTCGCATTAAAGAAAAAATTAAAGAAAAAACACTTAAGCAAAACATGGTCAGGTCAAAGTGTCTGAATAATTTTTGGTCACAAATTTTTTATCAATTTTACTGGAAGTCCACTGTATGAATAATTTTTGGGTATAATATGTCACAGTTTACTTTATTTTGCCATCCTCACTTACATAAATGAACTATAGTGTCCTGCACCCACTAGTAAAAAATTGCAAAAAATTGTATCTGGTGTCTGAATAATTTTTGGTTTGACTGTATATAGGTTCTTATGTTTTTATTACAGTTTCATTTAACTGTTCATATTGTGAATAATAGAAAGCTACAATTTTAATACCTTGAGTTAATGTCATAGAAATATCAGTATTATGTTATAACTGTAGTAAATTATAATATAAACATCACTCTTAACATTTATGTCTGTCTTGTTTTCCTGTTTTGGCAGATTCCAAAGGGAGTTTACCCAAGGTGTGACTCCAGATTGGATCATCACGAGAATAGAGCACTCAAAACTTCTTGACTAAGTGTGTTTAATTTGGATAGGAGAGTTTTTTTCATGCTTTTTTCATTTAATATTGCTCATCATGCCAAAACTTGTAGGCTCAATTCACTAACCTTCACTGGAAAAAAATAATGCTGAAATATCGTCAGCTCCTGGTACTTTCCATTGGCAATAGAACGTTATAAATATTGATTTGCTGTATACTTCAGTGTGTTTTATCTCACTGATTTCACATTATTAACTATTTTATTGTTTGTAATTTATGGTTTGCTCCTCATTGAATAGTTTGGTTATTAAAAAATATATATTTTTTAACATTGTATGATGAGTTTTGGGGTGAAGTTGACTGCACATTGCGCAGACTGTGCAACTGAACTGTAAAACTATACAAGAAATATCAGGAGAAATAAAGAGCAATTCTTTAGTATTAAAACCACAAAGACCACTGCCTGGATACTAGGGCTGTGCGATATTGAAGAAAAATGCGATATGCGATAACTCATTAAATAATGTGATACGATAATGCTTAAAGTGCCACATGCTCAGATGAAACCGTTTTACTCAGCTGTTGCTGAGTCAGTTCTGTGAACTTCTATAACTATCTTGTGTCATATATATATATATATATATATGGTTATTTGTTTGTATGTATGTATGTATCAAGAGCTCCTGTAAAACCACAACAAATTCCTTGTGTTTGCGCACACTTAAGTGGTGAATAAAGCTCATTCTGATTCTAATATAACTAGCATACATGTTTCACTTTTTGTGAGAAGAAAGGACCCCTACAACAACTTCTGAAAGTGAACGGTATGTGTTTTACTCGAGCATTACATAAAAATGTCATTTTAACATTAGTGTAATCATTTTAACATGAGTTTAGGAACTGAATAATAAAAAGGAAAAATACAACACTGCTTAGTATTTTTCTCTGAATTCAATATGCACTGATTCTTATTTAAGCTACAAAAGTTATTTAGGTAAGAGCAGTGAGTGATTTTCTTTTTCTTTTGTTCATGGCCCCAAGTATTGCAAGCCGTAGCGATATGCATATTGCGATATGTACATTTGCGATATTTCGATATATTGCACAGCCCTACTGGATACTTTGAAAGACAGGCTCATACAGAATGATGAACTGACCAGTAAGTTCTGTAACGGTTTTTATCAAAACTTCCATGTTATGTAAAACGTTTTAGTGCAAAAAAACATGATGTAATAAAATATCATAATTCATAAAAATATTGTACTTTTAATTTTCTCTAGGATGTTATAAATGGTTAGTAATTCTAATGGAATCTACTTATTTTGTGATGTCACATACAGTACAGAAAAGAAATTGGGAACCAAGTATTATTTTCCTATCATTGTTATTTTTCTTGGTTTTGTACATGCTTTGTTTCATTGAACATAAAATGCAGTACCCTTTAATGCTTAATAACATAAATGCTTGTGTTTCTATAAAAGTGCACACCAGACTTTCTGAAATATGCTCTGGTCAATCTCAGACACCTTCAAACTTTATTAATTATAGCTCTGTAGCAATAAATCAAATAAAAAATACTAAATACTAAAAAAATACTATACTGTAAAATACTATACTATACTGTGTTCTGTAATTTTCTAATCGCAATGACTTTCACTTTAAAGTGAAAATATTTTATAGCAAACCAACTAAATCCAAAAAAAACAAATAAAAAAAATTAACCAATTCCTTTATTGCTTATTGTTCATGTTAGTTACAGGGAACATACAAAAATATCCAGATAAATTGTGATAGAAAACCAATATGATTTTTAATATTACCATGTTTATATCCATTATAGTAAGACATAATGGGCATATGAAAGTATTATGCATAATCTTAATTCCTGATATTTGATGTGTAATTATACGCGATGCAGGCACTACGTCCCCTTGCTTTAAACTTACGCATTCAAGATGACACGACGGACCTTGAATGGCCCCTTTATTGACGCCTTTCTGCGTTTTACATTGAGGAGAAATATTCCACGATGATCCCACCGTTCCCCTGCCATCCCGCCCACTGTCAATTGTGATTGGCCAAACCCAGAACCTATTCTGCCTCTCCATTGGCTACTCTCCTGTCTGCGTCGTGACATCATGCCAGGGGCTGCGTGACAGGTCCGTAGGAGGTTTCCTATTGGTTTAAACAGGCAGTGTGGGTTTACAACATAGACTGTGGGTTTACAACGAGGAAAGCGGAGACACGATTACAATGAATTTGTAAATAAAATCAAACAAATCTTGTAGAGACATGAGACTCGCTTTATACGCGTTTTGCGGCTTTGCTTTTGGGCTTTTGCTCGTGGGTTTGCGGGAATTATTGTTTGGTTTCGGGGAGAACCGATGCAGCATGACATACATGTTCGAGTACCCAGAATACCGAGTGAGTATCACTGCAAACACAGTCTGTATCACTGTTGCTTTCTTCACACGTTTGCGTTGCAATTCACAAAATGTATAATTTCTTCTAATTAGAGCAACATCACTAGCTCACAACACAATTCACTGGCAGGCCATGCATCAGTTCCTCATACCTGTCATTCTACCTGTTGTTTTGGCAACAACAAACATTCCTTATCAGCAACATCAGTCATTATACAATATTTCAATGGGCAAAATCTTTTTAACCCTCTGTTATCCACCACTTGGGGGTCACATTTGTGTTTTTAATATGTTTTTATTATTTATATAGTAATGGATTTATGGTAAAAGACCATATTTACCCGAAAAGTATGCATCATGTTTTTTTTTTTCTATATGAAATATAACAAATATTGGGGAAAATATGTCGTCATTTAGTTACTGAAGTGTTTAAGTATGAAGAGTTTATGTAATACCATGGTGTAACCACTTGCAGGTATAGCCTAGTGTATTCCCTAGTTGCTTATAAGAGCATTGCGAGTACATCTCAAAATGAAGCTCTACCTGCCATACATTCAAACCTGCACTGCAACCTGAACATGCTTTTAAAGTGTCGTTTGTTTCAGGAGTCCTGTTCTACAACTTGATTTGCTTGTGGTCTTGCATTCTCTTCGCCTGTATGTTTTTAGCGTGTGCAGCTTCCGAAGCGTGTTGCACACCAGTACCCATCATACGGGCTGTATCTGTATGGAGAGGGTGCATATGCTCAGGAGACCAGAGGACTCAAGCTTACTGGCGCTCCTGTGCTCTTCTTGCCTGGGAATGCGGGCAGCTACAAGCAAGGTGAGATGGAACTGGTTTTTCCTCATTATTTCAGTCAGCACATCTTACACATGTACACATGTGCCATGTAAATAGCTTGGTTTTGTTTACTTTTTCTTTAAGGTGGGTAACCTGTTCGTTTGCTCAATCAATCTTGATCCTCCTTCTGACTTTTTCCCCAGTACTTATGAAACACTCTGATTGTTCATTACAAACAGAGGAAGACAGGTGAGAGCACACACAGAGATGTTGTTCTACTCTCTCTTGCAGCTCGTTCTCTGGGTTCAGTGGCATTGAGGAAGGCTGAGAACCTGGACAGGCGAATCCATATGAACGTGTTCACCATCGACTTCAACGAGGAGTTGGTGGCCCTGTATGGGGGCAGTTTGGGCAGACAGACTCAATTTCTACATGAAAGCATCAAAGCCATCTTGCGCTTTTACAAGGTCAGAGGTCAAGGGCATCTTTATTCCTTTTCCATCTCTTTTGCCCTTTTACTTTCTTCCCATTTCCTTTCCATCCTTTTCTGTCCCTTTGTTAGAATTACAGATCACAAAATTAGTTATCTAGACTTTTGTTCATAGTATACACACTTGGTTCACTTGGAGCACTAACAGTAATGATTGAATTTATAGACAAGTATTAGTTTTGAGTTGATAGCACACAAAATATAGGCCTGTATGTTTATATTTCTTCAAGGTTGAATATACTACAAAACTATTGCACAGATTTTCAGTCTGGAGGAATCAATGCTAGTTGCATAGTCAGAGCCAGTCTGCAGATTTTGGGCAGTCAGAGTTGGCAGATATCACAGAGCATTCTTCAATATTTCAGCACATCTTATACATATGTGATATGAATAACTTTCCCTTCAAGGTGTTTTTTTTTTTACTTACTCCACGACTAATGAAACTTTCCGATTTTTCATTGCAGATGGAGAAAGAGAGATTGTGAAAGCTCATTGCAACACACAGACAATGCCGAAATCCTGTAGCTTAACATAAGATTATTGCTTTAGCAACACCAGGGTCATGGGCTAAGAACGGATAAAATATTTACTTTGAAAGAAATATGAGTTGTAGACTCTTATGCAAAGCTAAATGCATAAATATAAATGTAAAATCACATAGTTTCTGATGGGTACAGACTGATTTTTAGCTTCAGACTAAAACATGTTTTATACTTTGAGCCGATTTTAGAATGCATATTCTTATTTGTCATGCGTCTCCTAGCAACAAGGTGCATGTTTCTGCATGTGTTGTGCTTAAACAGTGTTAAAGTCTGGTTGTGTTTGATCTTCAGCCATCTATGTTGATGTATGATGCCAGTTTTTTCTGTAACCATTCACAAAGTCAGCAAATGTATGATGCCTATTGTTTCAAAATCTGTTTAGATTTTAAAAGTCATGTAGTGTATTCCAGCCTTTCAGTCACTTAGTAATTGAACCTCATTGCTATTAGTAGGTCATCTAAATTCAAACCAGTGATTTTTTTCTTCTACATTCCCATGGCTGCAGGACCGTCCAGACCCTCCCACAGGTGTGGTTCTGGTGGGTCATTCCATGGGTGGAGTGGTGGCAAGAGCGTTATTCACCCTGGCACGTTTCAACCCACGCCTGGTCAGCCTCATCATCACCCAGGCCTCACCCCACCAGGCACCTGTCCTGTCTCTGGATCCTTATATACTGGGTAGGAAAAAACAGACCGACATAAATATGTACAGATGATTTGTTTGAGTTTTGAGGGTACACTACAGTTCAAAAGTTGCTTTTTTATTTTGAAAGACATTGCAATTTTTATTTCACAAGGATGCAATAAATTAATTAAATGTAACAGTAAAGACAATTATAATGCTACAAAAAATCTGTTTCAAATAATTGCTGAATTTTGAATTCATCAAAGAATCCTGAAAAAATATGTGTTATGGTTTCCACAAAAATTTTAAGCAGCACAAATTTTTCCCATACTGGTAATAAGAAATCAGCAAATTAATAATAATAAATTCTACAATATAACTTTTTTTAACTGTATTTTTGCTCACATGAATACATGTAGTTATGGTGAGCATAATAGACTTCTTTCAAAAACTGAAAAGTAAATACTGCCCCCATACTTTTTTAACAATAGTTTATTCAGAAGGTATAAACTTGTGTATTTGTATATTACACTTTCTCAGTTTGATTGTTTTTTGGTACACTAACATCTGAATTGTGTGTGTGTGTGTGTGTTAGAGTTTTACTCTACAGTCAGGCATCGCTGGGCCACAAATGCTGAAGACCTTCGAAATGTAACAGTTCTCTCTGTGGGTGGTGGTTACCTTGACTTCCAGGTGCGCTCTGGTTTGACAGCACTGTCCTGCCCCATTGATGACCTCAATAAGATGTCAGTAGTGGTAGGTCTACTAGCCATTAAAGTTATCTTTAGTTTAATATTTAACTAAATATATTTTTTTCAAGCAAAACCTGATTTGTTTTTAATGTGCTTACCATGGTACATCAGTGTTTTGTGAATTGGTTTTAGGCGACTGCAGTTCCCCGAACCTGGGTTTCCACAGATCACATTTCCATCGTTTGGTATGTTTTTGTATCCTAGCATTGTTTCATGAAAATGGAGAGAGAATTTAAACTGATGGTTAATTATTTTGCTCTTAAAGGATTAGTTCACCCAAAAATGAAAATTAACCCATAAATTACTCACATTGTTATTTTTATTTCACAAGGATGCAATAAATTGATTAAATGTAACAGTAAAGACAATTATAATGTTACAAAAAATCTGTTTCAAATAATTGCTGAATTTTTAATTCATCAAAGAATCCTGAAAAAAATATGTGTTATGGTTTCCATAAAAATTTTAAGCAGCACAATTTTTTCCCACACTGGTAATAAGAAATCAGCAAATTAATAATAATTAATTTATAAAAAGCGCCCATCCATAAAAAAAAAAGGTCTCACATTATTTTGCTCTTAAAGGTCCCATGGCATGAAAATGTCACTTTATGAGGTTTTTTAACATTAATATGAGTTCCCCTAGCCTGCCTATGGTCCCCCAGTGGCTAGAAATGGCGATAGGTGTAAACCGAGCCCTGGGTATCCTG